CTGCGTCCTCCCCAGAGGGCTCGGCTCCTGGAGAAGTGGATCCGTGTGGCAGAGGTAAGAGAGAGAGGCTTGGCCCCGTTGGGGACCCTGATGTGGAGAGAGGTCCCAAAACTCTGGCCTGCCTCTGTGACCCCCACAGGAGTGTCGTCTGCTCCGAAACTTCTCTTCAGTTTATGCTGTTGTGTCGGCCCTGCAGTCCAGCCCCATCCACAGGCTTCGAGCAGCCTGGGGGGAAGCAGCCAGGTGGGGAGGATGGGGTATCGCCTGGAGCTGAGGGCTGGGAAGAGGCGTTAGGGCGAGTCTGGCCCATCCTCAAGGTTGCCGCCTTCCACCCCTCAGGGACAGCCTCAGAGTCTTCTCCAGCCTCTGCCAGATTTTCTCCGAGGAGGATAATTATTCCCAGAGCCGGGAGCTCCTATTGCAGGTGAGGCCCTGTTCCCTGGCGTTCCCAGCCACCCCTGCTCCCCATCCCACACCCATATCTCCTCGTTCTGTCCCCACCAGGAGGTGAAGCTGCAGCCCTCTCTGGAGCCAAATTCCAAGAAGGCCCCGAGGTCTGGCTCCCGGGGTGGGGTGAGTGACTAGTTGGGGGGCGGTTGTGAAGGAGTAAGGAGTATGGGGGGGCAGCAGTCTGAGGGATGGAGAGCAGAGGCATAGCAGGGTGGGGGAATGAAATTTGTCCTCCAAGCCAATGGGATGGGAAAGTGCAGAGCAATTGGAAAGCACTCAGATCAGGGACAGCGTGTCTGATCCTGACCTCTGACCTCAGGGTGTGGTCCCATATCTTGGCACCTTCTTGAAGGACCTCGTGATGCTGGATGCAGCCTCCAAGGATGAGCTGGAGGTCGGTGGTGTGTGTGTTACTGAGTGCATTGTGAGGGGGGAACAAATGGGCCTCCGGGCCAGACAGACCTTCAAGAAAGGTGCCATGGGGTGTTAGCGCTGAACTCCAGGGCACGAGCCAGATTGCCGGAATTCTGGTTCTGTTACTTGGGCAAGTTGCTTGACTTCTTTGTGCCTAGTGATCTGGAAATGGGAAAGCAGTGACAGTGTCTATGTCAGACTGTTATTATGAAGATTAAATGAATTAACATTTGTCAAGTGCTTAGAACATGCCTGAAATATAAGTGTATGTAGCGTTTGTTAAATAAACACTGGGACTTTGGGACACTGGGAGTTTGGGCCAATTCCTCATTCTCTCTGAGCCCTAATTTTCCTGTCTGTGAAATGGACACCTTTTCTCCCTGTGATCATTCAGTTTCAAGGGTAAGGTAGAGAGCTTAGGGCACGATAGGAGGGAGGGGGAGCCAGGGAAAGGACAGAGGAGTCAGAGGCCTAGCGAATGAAGTGTGTGTGAGTTGGCTGTGGATGTGCGTGTGTTTGAAGAGGGGACATTCTCTCTGTGGCAGGGTCGGGCTTCACCCCATCCCCATTATTCTTGCAGAATGGATACATCAATTTTGACAAGCGGAGGAAGGTGAGGGGAGTGCGTGGGCCAGATGCTAGACACCCCTAGTCATGTCCCAGGAAGGGGCGGGGAGTGGGGAAGTTGGGGGTCCCTGAGTTTTGGCTCCTGCAGACCGTGGACTCCTTCCTAGGAGTTTGCTGTCCTTTCTGAACTGCGGCGGCTCCAGAACGAATGTCGCGGCTATGACCTCCGACCTGACCCCGATATCCAGCGGTGGCTACAGGGGCTCCGGCCACTGACAGAGGCCCAGAGGTGACTGGCTGGGTGAGGTTGGGATTCCTGGGCTGTGGCTGAGTGTGGGAGTCGGCGTATCATGTCCTGACTTCTGCCCACGTCCCCCCTCTTCACAGCCATCGAGTGTCGTGTGAGGTGGAGCCACCTGGTACCAGTGACCCTCCTGCCCCGCGGGTGCTTCGGCCAACGCTGGTCATCTCACAGTGGACAGAGTGAGGGAGTCCGCGGTTAGGGGGTAGCGTCTTGGGGAGGCTACTTGGAGGAGGAGCCCTTCTTGCTCTGACGCTCCCAGTCTCTTGCCACTCCAGGGTTCTGGGCTCTGTTGGAGGTCCCACCCCTCTTGTCTCCTGGGACCGACCCAGCGTGGGGGGAGATGAGGTACCTGAAGCCCCTGCTCCTCTGCTGACCCGGCTGGCCCAGGTGAGCTCCGCTCCTGACCTCTGACCTCAACATTGACCTCACTCTTGTGAATGTTTCTTGCCTGATGTCTCTGCCTTCACGCCAGCGCCCCGTGTTGTTTGTCCGCAGCACATGAAGTGGCCATCTGTTTCATCTCTGGACTCCGCCCTGGAAAGCACGCCGTCCTTGCACAGTCCGGCCGACCCCAGCCACCTCTCCCCTCCAGCGTCCTCTCCCAGGCCTTCTCGAGGTCACCGCCGTTCCGCCTCCTGTGGCTCCCCGCTCAGTGGGGGTGCAGAGGGGGCCTCCAGGGGGACTGGATGTGGGGGAGGGGGGCCTGGGCCAGGAGCCTCTGATTGCCGAATTATCCGAGTGCAGATGGAGCTGGGGGAAGATGGCAGCGTCTACAAGAGCATCTTGGTGAGGAAGCTGTGGGCCGGCGGGGAGGGGGAGAGGACGATGCCTTGTGGGGCTGCAGATGTTGTCTTAGGTTTGAATAGACAAATGGAGGATGACTCTCGTTTTATTTATTTATTAAAAAAAATTCTTTTAATGTTTTATTTCTGAGAGAGAGAGAGAGAGAGCGTGAGCAGGGAAGGGTCAGAGAGAGAGGGAGATACAGAATCTGAAACAGGCTCCAGGCTCTGAGCTGTCAGTCAGCACAGAGCCCGATGCAGGGCTCGAACCCACAAACCGTGAGATCATGACCTGAGCTGAAGTCGGACGCTTAACCGACTGAGCCACCCAGGCGCCCCAGATGACTCTCATTTTAATTCTGACCTTTGGTTATGGCAGCTGTTTTATTACCTTTTTTAAGTTTACTCATGTTGAGAGGGGCAGAGAGAGCGCACAGGTGAGTGGGGAGGAGGGAGAGGGAGAGAGAGCATCCCAAGCAGGCTCCGTGCTATCAGTGCAGAGCCCACATCGGGGCTGGATCTCCCGAACCACGAGATCATGACCTGAGCTGAAACCAGGGGTCAGACATGTGACTGAGTCACCCAGGCGCCCCCCCCTGGGTTTGGCAGCTGTTTTATTCATTTTAAAGGCTACTTTGCATTAGCTGCTGCACCTTGAATTTTGGTGGCCATAGTAGATTTTTAGAACCAACAGCAGTTTCCTCACAGGGCAGCAGCCCTATTTCACTGGACACCGTGGAGTACAGGCTTGCGGAGTACAGAGAGCCACTGTAGAGCGTTTCCCTGTTCATTCTAAAGTGTTTGAAACTGGTAACTGTTTTGGGTTGGGATCAGTGGTTAGAGTTGAAAGGACAGAAAGCAGAGGTGATGGCCAATTTATTGCTCTTTTGGTCTCTGTCCTGACAGGTAACAAGCCAAGACAAGGCTCCAAGTGTCATCAGTCGAGTCCTTAAGAAAAACAATCGTGATTCTGCGGTGGCTTCGGAGTATGAGCTAGTGCAGCTGCTGCCAGGGGAGCGAGGTGAGAGGCCACGAGGGAAGGCCGACTCAGGAGCAGAGTGATGCCCAGCAGTGGGAACGAGTCCACAGCCGGGTGCTCATGGGGGGAATGATGGTGTTTGTTCTTGACACTCCCTCTCTGATCATACAGAGCTGACCATTCCACCCTCGGCTAATGTCTTCTACGCTATGGACGGAGCCTCACACGATTTCCTCCTACGGCAGCGGCGAAGGCCCTCTCTTGCTACGCTGGGTCTCACCAGCAGCCCCTCTGCCTCAGGAACTCCCCCAAGTGAGGGAGGAGGGGGTTCTTTTCCCAGGATCAAGGCCACAGGGAGGAAGATTGCCCGGGCACTGTTCTGAGGAGGAAGTCCTGCCGGCTCAACAGAACTCGTGTTGGCCATAGCAGCTGTGGGTAGCCAGCTGAACGGCGGCAGTCCTGTTGCTCTGGGAAGGAATCCAGAGGGTGGCCAACTACCCCGGGTCAGTGAAGTGCCACTATTTACCAGGCGGCTGAGAGATTCCGCTTTGTGGGAACTGGTAATCTTGGTAACCAAGTTGGATACCTGTGTATAGCTCCCTGCTTTCCATGAATGCAGCACACAGCTAGTGGTGGAAGAAGGGATCAGTTTCTGAGTCCTGGCCACATCCTAGCATGCCAGGGGCCAAGGGGAGGCCTGCAAGGAGGGGGAGAAGAAAAGCCTGGAGGCCCTGAGCCCTGGGGAGAGTGGATGGCAAGAAGTAGGTTCTCGTAGTTCTTTTTCCTACCCTGGGGTTGCCTGTCACTGTGACAACACTAAGATAATAAACCAAAACACTACCTAAATCCTACTCCCCTGTCCTTGCAGTGTGTATGGTCTAGCTGTGGGGAGTGGGGGTGGAGAGATGGCTGAGGGTAGATGCCAGCTAACAAGGAGCCCAGTGTTTCAGTGCCCGTTTCTATCCCATCGCTGAAAGTGAGGTGTTGGTGAAAACGTTTTCCTCTCAGCTTTATTCCCGCCCAGGAACCCCTCCACCCTAGTCCTTCTTATCTGCTCCTAAGTTTTTCTCCTCCATTCTCAAAGACCCATGTCAAGTACTACCCACCCAATTAAAGTGACCAGTATGAAGAACCACCCCGGTTGAAAATTTGTAAGAAACCATTTTAGGACAAAGAAATCAAGAACAACTTTGTGGGTGCTGTCTAAACTTGGAGGGTTTACAACATCACAGATCATTCCACACTGGGATTTCAGATCTGTCTAAGCTACATGCTAACACATTCCAGAGACTGAGAGGTAGACCAGGGCTATTTGGAGGATGACAAGAAATCATGGCAAGGAGGGTCACCACATTTCATCCTGGGGTCTCCAGTTAGATTATTGTGAGTTCTGCAATTAAAACTGACCTTCCCAACAACTGTTGCAAATGCTCCTCTCATATTCCTAAAGGGGCTTGCCAAGCAAGATAAGGCAGAATTCAGCGTTGCCCATACAGGCAAGAAGTAGATTTGGGACATTTCAGATTTTACTCTCAAGAAAGAAAGGATTACTCTGCCGCAGAGAGATTCCAGTTATAATATGAGCCTGAGGGAGTAATGTAGGTGGTGTATATATAAAGTGAATGGGGCCCAGGGGATGGATGCGACACAATCATGACAGAAGTGGCCAGTCAAAAAACAGCCAGGCGTTTTCACATTTTATTAGCTACAGTATAGACCCTAGAGCTGCCTCATTCCCTCCCCTCCCCCTCCCCCCACTACGGGGTCAGGCCTTCCCAGAAGCCCCTGCCTTGGCTGCCTGGGCCCGCTGGAACTCCTGCTGCAGCTGAGCCAGGGTCTCCCTCTGTTGCTCTGACTGTCGTTCCAGGTCGCGCAGCTGGGATTCGTATCGCTTACTGAGAGACAAGCAAATGAGAAATTAATGGGACTTACTATGGAGGGTGGTGAAGGCAAGAAGAGATTGATGGGGAGGAACGTGGAGATCTGGGGGAGGGTTTGGAGGAACTGGACAACTGGGGGGGTACGCTGGAGCTACTCTACAATGTTTCTGTAACACCCCTCTGCCAGCGCTGTCGGGTGCACTGCAGGCTGGTGGAAGAAAGACTCACATTTCAGCTGTGATATAGTCCAGCCTCTTCCCCACCGTGGCGCGAGCCTCTCCCAGCTCCTGTTTGACCAGCACAGGACCCAGAAGTTTAAAGACCACGTTGGACCCATCTAGCAGGGCCAGTTCCTGGTGGAGGGATGGGACATACATGATCACAATCACTGCCAGTACAGGTCCCTCCTCCCCGCCCCCCGCGCCCCCCCCGCCCCCCCCCCCCACGGAAATCCCTCTCTCACCTCCTTCACAATATTATTTTCTGTTAGCTGCGCCTCAAGCTTCTGCCTCCCTGACATGGATTTACTCAAGTCTGGGGGTTGGGCGGAAAGGTTTGATTAGAAACATCACATGTGCCCCCTGACCCCAATGCTAGAGAAAAAAAAACGGAGCTAAGGAAGTAGGCAAGGATGGGGTGGCAGGTCAGTGGGTGCGGAAGAGCGTTGAGATGGGGGAAGGAGCTGTACGCGGGGACTCGGCCAGAAAACATTATCTTGGTTTGGCTCCGGGCAGGGAATGAAAGGATTGGGGCGAGGCCGCACCGACCCTGCTCCCTTACCCTTCTGTAGCTGCTGATATTTCTCCACTTCTCCCTGTAGCTTCTTCTGGATTAGCTCAGCCATGGCGGGGACGAAGGCCTGCGGGAAGTGGGAAGAGGGGCGCTGGGTCTCACTCTGGGAGGTACTCTTAAGCTCCCCTTTTTGGCCTGGCCTGCGGAAATGACAGCACTCTTGAGAGGCACCCTTCCGGGGCACGGCAGCCTCTCCCCGTCCCGCAGAGCCACTCTACCCCGGCCCCAGGGGGAGGTGGCTGAGGCGACACCCCAAACCCCTCAACCGTAACCCAGCTCTACTCACGTTCTCCCTTCACTATTACTAAACCTGGAAGTAAACAAAGAATGCTGGGAAAGGAGGGCGCCGGAAGTTGTCCTCCTATGCATGTCGGGAACTGTAGTTTTGGCCGGTTTAATGAATGGTGTTCCGCCAAAATGACTGGACTCAGAAAGTTTTAGGCAAGATGGGGAAACGAAGCCGGAAAGAGAAACTCTACTGTTACCTGGGCCCCAGCCTCAGACTACCCTTCATTAATTACTCGAGCATAAACTGCTGCTCCAGATGGCGCCCGCCCCGCCCCTCGAGAGAGAATGCGCCCTCATTTAAGATGGCGCCTAGAAGGCTTCAGACCTGGTACGGCGCTGATTGGCTGACGGCTGGCGGACTTCCGGGAGTTTCCAAGCCGAGTGTCGGACAGCTGAGAGGAGTTTTGCACGTGGATCATCGTTCGGGTGGGCTAGATGGAGACAGCCCCCAAACCGGGCAGGGATGTCCCGCCCAAGAAGAACAGCTCTCAGGCCAAGAAGAAGGTAGAGACCTCCTTGGGGTGGAAGGGAAGTTTTTAGCTGCGCGGTCGCAGGGGGGCGGGGCGCGGCGCGGGCTGCGGGGTGTTAGAGCTACTGATCTGCCTGTAGAAACCCCGAAGGTACTGGGAGGAAGAAACCACTCTGACCGCTGCGGGAGCTTCTCCGGGGCCCCCTGGTAACAAGAAGAGGAATCGTGAGCTCCGCCACCAGAGGCCAAAGAACGCTAGCTTCCCAAAAAGGTCTCGGGTCTCCAGAAAGCCTCAGCTCCCGAAGAAACCTCGAGAGCGGAGGAATCCGGAGCCTCAGCGGAGCTTGTCTGGGGTGAGCCTGGGACCTGATAAGGTGGTGGAGCAAGTCGCTTTCTGCTTTCCAGGTGCGAGGATTGGGGTCAACCTTAGTCTGTCTGCTAATTGTTACCTCTTTCCCCAGGCCCAGGATCCATTTCCAGGCCCTGCCCCTGTCCCTGTGGAGGTGGCTCAGAAGTTCTGTCGCATTGACAAATCCAAAAAGGTGAGAACCATTCTGAGAGTGGAGAAGGGTTGCAGCCCGGGAGTAGATGAGCGGGGAAGGAGGAAGGCTGCCTGGCTCTCGTGAAACCCTACATAATGTCTGATTCTTTTCCCACCTCTGCCCCACCAACAATATTATAGCTGCCCCATTCGAAGTCCAAAACCCGAAGCCGACTTGAGGTGGCAGAAGCTGAGGAGCAGGAAGCAAGCACTAAAGCCGCTCGCTCTGAGCTGCTGCTTGTTGAGGAACCTGGGTAAGTGGACTCTCATGTGGGCCTCCTCAGGCCCTACCTACTTTTTGAGGCTGGCCCTTCTTATTTTCATGCTGGTACACTCACTTCATATTAGGAAGTTTTACTGCTGATACTCAATCCTAGGTTTCTGGAAGGGGAGGATGGGGAGGACACGGCAAAGATACGCCAGGCGGACATTGTGGAGGCTGTGGACATTGCAAGTGCAGCCAAGGTGAGTCTGAGGTTGGAAAAGGGGCCACTGGCTGGATTGGTGGTGCAGAGCAAGATGGAAGTGGGGACTGGAAGAGGGAAGTACTGAAAGGAGCCAGTTCTTTCTTGACCTTTTTTTTTTTTTTAATTCTATTCCTTTTCCCAGCACTTTGATTTGAACTTGCGGCAGTTTGGACCCTACAGATTGAATTACTCCCGAACTGGAAGGTAGGGCTGGATGTCAGTGACTCTTGAACTAGGATTTGGTTGTATCTCCGTAACCACTTTGGCCACACTCACCTTAGCCATGCCAGTGTATGTTTAGGTCAATCATGTGGGGAGGGTCCTGTGATTTCCTTGCATGTGAGGTTGAGCATGTAAAGCATCTTATCTGGAGAGGAGGGGCTGCTGTGGGGTAGACCTCAGATGGTCTGAGTCACCGTGCTTCCCTGCACTGATACTGCTGTTCCCCCACCTCCAACAGACACCTGGCTTTTGGAGGGCGTCGGGGTCATGTGGCCGCCCTTGACTGGGTAACAAAGAGGCTCATGTGCGAGATCAATGTCATGGAGGCAGTGCGGGACATCCGGTCAGTGGCGGGCAAGGCATCCTATTCCTGACTGAATGACGGTCCCTCGACCCCCTTTCCCACTGAACCACTCCTCCCTTCCTCCCAGGTTTCTGCATTCAGAGGCACTGCTTGCCGTCGCTCAGAGTCGTTGGCTTCACATCTATGACAACCAGGGCATCGAGCTCCACTGTATCCGCCGCTGTGACCGAGTCACGCGGCTTGAGTTCCTGCCTTTCCACTTCCTCCTGGCCACGGCTGTGAGTGGCTACGGAGCATGGGGACTGGGTGGCAGCCGTTGAAAAGACTGCTTCCTCTCCGGGATCCTAGTAGAAGGACAGAGAACAATCAGGACTTATTCTCTCTTTCTCTCTCTCTCTCTCTCAGTCAGAGACAGGGTTTCTGACCTACCTGGACGTGTCAGTGGGAAAGATCGTGGCAGCTCTGAATGCTCGGGCTGGCCGGCTGGATGTCATGACTAAGAACCCTTACAATGCTGTCATCCATCTCGGACACAGCAACGGTTGGTCTCTAGCTGAGTTTTGACTTTCTGACCATCCTGACCTGCTTTGCTTCTATATTTGTACTTTGCACATCCCTTCAGATAGCCCCTGTTCCTCCCTCTTGTTACCTCTTGGCCTTGAGACCCCGTCTTTCCCAGGTATTATCCCCTTAGCACCTACTGATAACCTCCGCTCCTCTCCTCTTGCATCTAGGGACTGTGTCCTTATGGAGTCCAGCCATGAAGGAGCCGCTGGCAAAGATTCTCTGCCATCGTGGTGGGGTCCGGGCTGTGGCAGTAGATTCTGCAGGCACGTAAGTCACTTGTTTGGTCACGAGGTGCTGGGGAGGTCACAGCTGGGTAGAAAAGTATAGAAAGCAGTATGCCTTTAGGAGCACAGACTTGCGCCAAGCTGCCTAGGTTTAATCCTGGTGTTAACCACTGACGGGCCACATAAGCATGGGCACACCCCATAACCTCTGTGTGCCATACTCTTTTGTCGCCCCAAGAGTGGGGATGAGTATCTAGCTCAAGGGGCAGAAAGCTTTTTCTGTAAAGAGCCCGGTAGTAAAGACTTCAGGTTTTGTTAGCTGAGAGGTAAATTCGAGTGTATCACATAGGTACTTAGTGAAAACAAAGTGTCACAAATTTTGAAGCAACAAAATTTAAAATATAATAATTGTGCGTAGTATTTTTGTAATGCAGGTCTGCCGATGGGAAGAACCGGATTCCTCTTTTTGAGGATAACATTGTGCTCAATTAAGGTTAAGAGTTACAGGATTCTAAGTCATCAAACTCATTTGCGAATGCTTGTTAGCATTGATCTGGGGAGAGATGTTACCTGTTTTGTCTTTGAAAACCTTTCACACAGATCGTGTGATAGGTGGCGCTTGAAACGCTGTCCAGTTATGACAGTGTCATTGTGAGTTGTGGTGCGCCCACAGTGGTGCTGAGAGGTGAGATGCCAAACGTGTCGGTATGGACCACTTTCCTGTGCCGTCGTGGTGCAAATCAGCCACAGAAGAGGCCAGTGAAAGCGTATGGTTGTGCTCCAGTAAAACCTCCTCTGCGGACACTGAGATTTGCATCTCCTCTAATTTTCACCTGTTGCAAAAGAGTTTTTTATTTTTTCCGACAGCCTAAAAACATGAAAACCATTTGGAGCCCCAGAGCTGTACAGAAGCAGGTGGTGGGCTGGAATTGTTTGGTGCATGGGCCGTAGTTTGCCAAGCCCTGGACTTAGCTCACAGGCCGTCACAGACGGCCTGAGCCAACACGAGTTAAAGCCTACAGGGTTTAGTGTGTTGCCCAGGAAGTACGAAGCACTGGGCTTCACCACTGCCATCATTGAAGATGATCGTTCTCTTGAGGTCTGGCTGGTGATGTGAGGCGTAGGAGTGGGGGTCCTGCTTGGAATTGCTGCTCCTCCTGAGAGTTTGAAGCTGCCAGCTGTGCTGTTTGATACGTACGTGTGTGCAGACCTGGCATGCTGTTTTCCGCACGAGTTCCCTCTAATGGGATCAGTTCCTCTTAATTCCGTTCATTGTCAGACAGTCACTGGGCACCTGCCACGGGCTGGGGCTCTGTGCTGAGGTGCTGGGGGGTACAAGGGTGAATGGGCCATTGAGCCTGTCCTGGGGCAGTATTCTACTTTATATTCAGAAACAGGACTGTGGTTGAAAGAAATGATTAACCAAGAGATGCTCTTAGTTCCTACTGAGTTGTCTTATGTCACCCCAGATTGAATGTGTCCACTGCGGGATAGGTCATCCTACTCCCAGAGTTCCTCCTGGCTTGCTCCCTTTCTGCCACATTTTCTGGTCATCAGAATGTGACTGGACGTTTCCGGCTAGCTACACAGCTCTCGGATCTTCAGCCATCAGTAAGGGCAGGAACCAAATTGCTGTTGGCTGGGTGGTTTCTGGGTGCCCAGGCTCTACCACATGCTTTGGCGGCATCCCTTCATTACTGCCCATGCATCCCCATGAGGTCCTGGCTGCTTTCCGCTTGAGGGCCTCTCCAAGGTCCATTTCTGTCTATCCTTGCTGCCTCCTGTGAACAAGTGTGATGCTCACAGTTACTTTCCAGCCTCTGGTTGTACCTCCTGCTGGTATGTCCTGGGTGCTGCTTTCTTCCTTTTACACTGCTGTTCTGGAATCTCGTACATAACTTTATTTTCAAATGGTTTCAAAGAAAGTCTGTAAAAAAGGGGTGGGGGGAGAGTGCACCTGGGTGGCTTAGTTGGTTAAGTGTCTGACTTTGGCTTAGGTCATGATCTCATGATTCGAGCCCCCCATCAGGCTCTGTGCTGACAGCTCAGACCTCAGAGCCTGCTTTGGATTCTGTGTCTCTCTCCCCCCGCCCCCCTTCCACTTGCACACTCACATGCCCTCTCCCTCTCAAAAAAAAAAAAAAAAAATGTCTGTGTTGTGGTTTGCCTTCCCTGGACTGCTTTGGTCAGCTGGTACTGTGCCCAAGGCCTAATCACTTAGTTTCCTGAGATTTGGTCAACACCTTGAGAACAGCTCTGGTCCTTGATTTTGGCCCAACTCTGCTAATCTTTAGTCCTTATCAAGAGCACCTCTGGGGCGCCTGGGTGGCTTAGTCGGTTAAGCGTCCGACTTTCGCTTAGGTCATGATCTCGCGGTTCGTGGGTTCGAGCCCCGTGTCGGGCTCTGTGCTGACTGCCAGCTCAGAGCCTGGAGCCTGTTTCAGTCTGTGACTCCCTCTCTCTCTGACCCTCCCCTGCTCACGCTGTCTCTCTCTCTCCTAGAAATAAATAAAAACATTTAAAAAAAAAAAAAAGAGCACCTCAGATAAGCCACAGGGGCTTGAGATGAGGCTTACTGGCTTCCTCAAGAGGCATTCTGGAGGCTGGCATTAGGATTGGGTTCTCAGAGCTAGACTGTGTTCTGCAGAGTTAGTAGCATGGTAGTGTGGGCTGGATGCCCTCTGGTCAGTGGGCTGGCATTTGTGCAGGGGATCCCAAAGGTGGGTATGTGTGGGGAGAGAAGCCCTTGAGTTGTGGGTTGACTGAAGAGTGTGACCTGTGTCCCAGGAGCCCTCAAGAATTCCTGGTTTGCATTGATGATCTTTCCATCTGGTGGAGCTGGGGCCCTGATTGTCTTGTCTTGTGAGAAGTGTCCACTCAGCCTTAATTCAGCCCCATCACAGAGCTAGTCCCTCTCATAGGAGCCTTTTGGTACCTGCCCTCTTGGGCTCACAGCCAAGGCTAAAAAGAGAGTCCATGGCCTCTTAGCAAACTTAGAACCTGGCCTGGCTGGTCTCCCTTTAGCCTCCCTCTCTGAGGAACATAGCAAACATAGAAACTCCAACCTTGGAAAACAAACTATCGTGCACGATTCCTTGAGAGGATTGCCCTCCCCTTTTCCAGGGAAAGAGGAGGAGGGGTAGAGTGAGTCTCCTAGCTTATTACTTTATTACTTCCTAAAGTTGCCTCAGGTCCTCACAATCTTCCGTTGTGGTCTGTCATTACCGGCGAGCAGGGTTAGGGACTCTGGGTCCTCAGTCTGAGTGTAAAGAGCCCCTGCTATTTGTCCCCTTGTGATCCTCCTGACATTTCCCACCAATCCTCAAAACAAACCTCTGCTTCCATCTCCCCATCTCCACACTCTAATACGAATTCATTTGTACTTGATATATGTGTTTCTTGAGAAAAACCTAGAACAGCTCCCAGAAGTCCTCCCTGATCACTGCTGTCTGTCCTCTTTGCTGAGCCACTGTGCTCCCAGTGTGTGCAGTGGACCATCTCATTTAGGTACAGATGGGTGTACGTGCTGTCCCTTTGATTAAGAGCAGACACTATGGGGCGCCTGGGTGGCACAGTTGGTTAAATGTCTGACTTCAACTCAGGTCATGATGGTTAGTGATTTCGAGTCCCATGTTGGGGTCTGTGCTGACAGCTCAGAGCCAGGAGTCTGCTCTAGATTTTATGTCTCCCTCTCTGCCCCTCCCCGCTCACATTGTCTTTGTCTTTCAGAAATGAATAAACAGTTAAAAAAGTATTAAAAAGGGGCACCTGGGTAGCTCAGTCAGTTAAGGGTTTGACTTTGGCTCAGGTCATGATCTGTCAGTCCGTCAGTTCGACCCCCACATTGGGCTCCTTGTTGACAACTCAGAACCTGGCGCCTGCTTCAGATTCCGTGTCTCCCTCTCTCTACGTCCCCTATTTATACTCTCTCCAGCTCTCAAAAATGAATAAATGTTAAGAAAAGTATTTTTAAAAAAGAGCAGACACTAAAGAGACAGACTGGACTTGAATTCTAGCTCTACCATTCACTCTGATTTGATTATCTTTTCTCTCAGTTTCGGTTTCCTCATCTGAAAAAGGGAAATAAAAATGGTTTCTCCCTACCAAGACTTTATGTCTGCATTTGACCACACTCCTACTCAGTAAGCCCATATTACAAATTAATTGACCTCCCTCTCTCTACCAGGTACATGGCCACCTCTGGCCTGGACCACCAGCTGAAGATCTTTGATTTACGAGGGACGTTCCAGCCTCTGAGTGCTCGGACCCTGCCCCAGGGAGCAGGACACCTGGCCTTTTCCCAGCGGGGACTGCTGGCTGCGGGCATGGGTGACGTGGTCAACATATGGGCGGGGCAGGGCAAGGCCAGCCCCCCCTCCCTGGAGCAGCCTTACCTCACCCACCGGCTCTCGGGCCACGTGCATGGCCTTCATTTCTGCCCCTTTGAAGATGTGCTGGGGGTGGGGCACACTGGGGGCATCACCAGCATGCTGGTACCTGGTGAGTGGGCCAGGGGATGGGATCCATGTGAATGAACTCTGGATGGATGTTTGGGTTGGCTTGTGATAGCCAGGAGCAAAAGGGCATCGTTGGGCTGGAGCTGCTGGACTTGGTTCTGTTTATAGCTCCATGCTTCTCCCTCTTTCTAGGGGCTGCTGAGCCCAACTTTGACGGCCTGGAGAGTAACCCTTACAGGAGTCAGAAGCAGCGTCAGGAGTGGGAGGTGAAGGCGCTGCTGGAGAAGGTGAGCATGTGCCTGCATGTGGTCTGGGCTGGGGACAGGGAAAGCTCCCCATGCCCCAGGAGTCTGGGGGAAGAGTGGGAATCAGCAGCCCCCTGGCTTCCGTCCCTCTCTGGATCACCCTCCTGTCGCTCCTGTGGCTCCTTACCATTTCTGTCCCTCTGTGACACCTTCAGGTACCTGCAGAGCTCATTTGTCTGGATCCACGAGCCCTGGCAGAAGTTGATGTCATCTCTTTAGAGCAAGAAAAGAAGGAACGGATAGAGCGGCTGGTATGAATCAGGCCCAAGTGCCCAGGCCCTACCCCTCCACAACCTCCGTGCCATGTCCCCGGAAGTACGACACAGCACATGGTGCTGCCACAGTTCCTGGCCTCTGAGGCTCTTAATATTCTACCCTTGTCTTCTCTCTTAGGGCTACGACCCGGAGGCCAAGGCTCCTTTCCAGCCAAAGCCGAAGCAGAAGGGCCGCAGCTCTACAGCAAGCCTGGTGAAGAGGAAGAGGAAGGTCATGGATGAGGAGCACCGGGTAAATGATCACTGGGGGGGTGGACCAGGCATCCTGTGGGCTGCACCCTCCTGCTAGTGCCTCTGCCCTTGCCAGCCTGCCACTTCTCACCTTGCCACCCTCTCACCAACCAGGATAAAGTCCGACAGAGCCTTGAGCAGCAGCCACAGAAGCAAGAGAAGAAGGCCAAGCCCTCGAGGGACCGGCCATCTGCCCTGGACAGATTTCTGCGCTGAGCCCTGCCCAAGGGTGGCCTGAGAATAGCACTCTCCCCCACGATTGCCTGTGGGGAAATGACCCTATTTCTTAGAATAACGAGGGGACAGTATGCCCCTTCTCCAGGGACAGCTGGCTCCTGGGCTGGGTTGGTATTAAAGAAGGTGGGTTTGTTTTGGATAATGTGTCTAGCTCATTCTTGGGACCTGTTCCACCCGTTGCCCAGCATGGGCCTACTCTAGGATCTGAGGGGTCATAGTGTCCTGCTCCCACCCCCACCTCATATCTTGTCACTGTGGCCTTGGCCTTATTCTTTTGGGGTCTTCCTCCTCTCTATCCCATGTCCCTTGAGAGGTCCTTCCCATGCAGCAGCCTCCAGGCTCCCCGGGTGTGTGTTCTTGGACTGCTGGTGAGGACCACGCTGTACTCGAAGAGGTAGAGAGACAAGTTTATTGAGGAGCTTGTGCCCCTCTCCTCTGGCTGGAGAGAACAACCCCAGCAGTGTTGTGCTCGTCGTGGGGAGTGTCTTTGGGGCTGGCAGGCCAGGCCCCTAGATGTCTCTTGTATCCCTCCGTCTTCAGTGATAGACTGAGCATCTGATTGCAGAAACTGGTCATCTGCAGCCAGGCTAGGGCCCCTGCCATGGGCCTGGGCGAGAAGGCTGTGAGGAGTGCCGGCTAGACCTGGAGTTCCTCACTCCTCTGCTGTGGCCCCGTCACTGTCAGCTGTGAAGCCAGGCTATTACCCGACACCTTAGGATGCCCAAGACTCCCTGGAGCCAGGAGCAGAAGGGTGCAGTCTTTTCCCCATCAGAGCCTCTCACTAGCTTCCAGGCTTCCTGCATCTTCCAGGGGTCCAACTTGTGGGATGTCAGCAGGAATTTCCCATAGCAGCACCGGTCCAGGGGATAGTGGGTGGCCCCAGCCAGCTTGACACAGTGGGTTGGGGTGAGGCCTCCTCGTCGGGCACTTACCCCCACAAAGACATCCTCCAGTGGTAGACGGGGTGCCTGGCTGGCCACTTTTAGGATGAGCTGCACAGCAGAAGCCGACAGCACATACCCTGTGCCAGAGGCATAGGGTGGAAAGGGGCCCCAGGTGGGAGGCCACTGCTCCTCTGATACCTGGTGTTTGCTCCCTGGTGTCCGAGTGGGGTGTACCCGCCAGTGCACACGGCCCAAGTACAAAAGAGGCATTGGCTGGCTCCTGAAGATGGACCTTTCCCACTCTTCATCTCCAAACTCATTCTCTCTCGGAGGCTCCATGCTCTTCTCCCATTGTTCCCAACGGCCTCCTCGCCGAACCAGCTCAGATACCAGTTCGGGGACGTTGACAAACACATCATCGTCTGTCTTGAGGATGTATCGGGCCATGGAACAATGTCTGTCCGCCCAATTCAGCCCGATGAGAGTCTTCAGAGTAAGGTTCCGGTAGGAGTCCCGGAAAGCCGCCTGCAAGATATCTCCCCGGGTTGCTGCCTCTCGTGCTAAGTCGATCTCGATCTCGTGGGATTCCCTGATGGGATGCCGCAAGCTTGGCTCTCCCAGCAGAAAGAGTGTCTGCACCCTGAGCCCTCGGGCCTCGCGCAGCCCGCCCCACGAAGCCCGAATGGCATTTCTTTGGTTCAAGTTCTCTGGGGCCGTGCTCACCAGTATGAGCAGGAAGGGTGGGGCGCCGGGACCCCCGCATGCCTCCACATTGGGGATCAGGAGGCGGGGCAGGGCCAGAGGCGGCCCTGGGGAGGCGGGCGCCGGGAGCAGGGAAGCCAGTGAGAGGCTCAGCAGCTCCTCCCCGATGCCTGAGGGCCCGAAAAGGGTCCAAATAATCACCAGCAGCAGGGCAGCAAGGAGAAGGCGCCGGAAGAGGCTGAGAGGCATGGTGTAATCAGAAGGGACCTGGAGGGAAAGATGGAGGTGGTTAAGAGGGCAGAGGGACCAGACCTGCTCCCTAACCGGCCACGCCTGGGATGGAGCAGGCGACGGAGCCCGCGACCAGTACCAGCGCGGGGAGGGGGATAGGGGGAGCCGTGCCGCTGAGGCCCGGGAAGCGGGGCGGCGGCGGGCGGTTGTTACCTTGTCGTCGGGGCCCCGCCGCCCCAAAGCTCGGCTCCATGGCAGGGTTTCGCCACAGCGCCAGTCGCCCCTCCTCCACCCGCGGTGGCGGCTGGGTCCCGCCCTCCTCCCCCGGAGGGTGTGGTGCCGCTTGCACACCGCCTCCCTGCGTAGCGGCAGCCGACGACGTACCGGCGGCGGGGCCTCTGCGCGACCGCGAATGGGATTTGGGTCAAGTGTGCCTCAGCCCGAGAGGCAAGCGCAGGGCACCCTACCAGCCGCGGCCTCCCTCCCGAAGCACGCACGCGTCCCCCGCTCTGCTGCAGAGCTCAGCTCTTCCGGGTCAGCGATGTAGCGGTGTGCCTCCGTAGGGGAAGCCCACAACTTCCCGTCTCCGCGGGCCACATTTTTTACATATTTTTTTAGAGGGGCGCCTGGGTGGCTTAGTCGGTTAAGCGTCCGACTTTCGCTTAGGTCATGATCTCGCGGTTCGTGGGTTCGAGCCCCGCGTCGGGCTCTGTGCTGACAGCCAGCTCAGAGCCTGGAGCCTGTTTCAGTCTGTGACTCCCTCTCTCTGGCCCTCCCCTGCTCACGCTCTCTCCTAGAAATAAAACATTAAAAAAAAAAAAAAGCAGCTAGGTTTGGGGCACGTGGGTGGCTCAGTCCGTTAAGCGTCAGACTTTGGCTCAGGTCATGGATCTCACGGCTCGTGGGTTCGAGCTTCCCGTCTGGCTCTGTGCGGACAGCTAGTTCAGAACTTGCAGCCTGTTTCAGATTCTGTATCTCCCTCTCTCTGACCCTCTCCCGTGCTCACGCTTTCTCAGAAATAAAAAAGTTTAAAAAAAAAAGGTGCCACGCTGCCCCACCCCCCAACCTGAGTGTCTTGAAATTGCCTTAGGCTCCCCCTCCTGGCTGAGCGTTACCTCTACGGCAAACGACAGAGGTGAGCACCAGTGCTATTTCTGGTAGCGCAGGGAGGGGCAACGCCATTGCTTTACCCTAGACCAAGCACACCTGATTTGGGTAGCAGAGTGAGGCCGTCAACAGGAGAGAACACCCACAGGGCCCAGTGTGATAACTTTCCGGATCAGTGTCCCCAGAAGAAAGGAGAGAACTATATACAAGGAAGCCGTAGGTGTATAAACTATTTATTAACAGAAAAGGCCTAGAGATTTATTTCTTCTTGGATACACCGACAGTGCGGCCCCGGCGGCCTGTGGTCTTGGTGTGCTGGCCTCGGACACGAAGTCTGCAGGTGAGGAAAGAGAAGGGTCACAAATTATATACCATGTAAAGGAAACACCTGTAAAGAACGCGGGGCACCAGAAACCTCTGGGAGTCTCAGGGCAGGCAGGAAGAGGAGACTCCCACCCCCACTCACCCCCAGAAGTGGCGCAGGCCTCTGTGGGCCCGAATCTTCTTCAGTCGTTCCAGGTCTTCACGAAGTTTGTTGTCCAGACCATTGGCCAGGACCTGGATTTGGAAGAGTGAGTAATGTTTTACCCACTGACCTCCTATGACTAATTCTAACTGGACACCCTGCCTTTTCTCTAATCTCTCCCATTTCAATACACACCTGGCTGTATTTTCCATCCTTCACGTCCTTTTGTCTGTTCAAAAACCAGTCTGGGATCTTATACTGGCGTGGATTCTGCATAATGGTGATCACACGTTCCACCTGTCAGGTAGGACAAGGGTGAGATACAAACGGCCTCCCTTCCAAGGCAGGCCCAACCCACAGCCCCCCTTCCTTGTCCTCACCTCATCCTCAGTGAGCTCTCCTGCCCTCTTGGTGAGATCGATGTCCGCTTTCCTCAACACCACATGAGCGTATCTTCGCCCCACACCCTGAGGAGAAGTTTTGGAATTTGGGGCGGAGTCTGATTTTTTTGGCTTTCTTTTGTAGCCCTGCTATTCAGCCTGCAACCACCCAGCCCACTATGCTTTTCTAGATACAAAGTCTAACCATTAAATAGAAAAAGTTTTATTCAGGGCCTCCTGGGTAGCTCAGTCAAGTGACTGACTTCAGCTCAGGTCATGATCTTGCAGTTCAGGAGTTCGAACCCTGCATCAGGCTCTGTGCTGACAGGTTGGAGCCTGTTTCTGATTCTGTACCCCCCTCTGACCTCCTGTGCTCGTGCACTCTTCTCAAAAATAAACATTAAAAAAAAAAAAAAAAGAAGCAAGCAAGCATTAAAAACAAGTTTTATTCAGGGGCAGGTCCAAAGAAAGCAGATCTTTTCACACTGCTCAGCACACACATTTGTCGAGTGCAGGCTGTTAAGACACTGTAGCAGCACCCAAGAGTGCAACCTTCTAGTCTCTGCATTGTGGAGGACCACAGGCTTGGTTCTCAAAGCGGATGCAGCACCACAGCAGCAAGACTAGGGACTTTTGGGAAGAGGGTTGATCGAGGGGTGGGATTGTGGTGCTCTGGGTCTCTAAGGGTCATAGTTCTTTGGGCAAGCAAGTCACTTCGTCTCAATGATCAGTTTTCTAATTAAGTTTTCACAAACTTAATGGTCAGTGCTCAGAGATGACCAGGCCACAGGTCATCTAACTGCCCAAACCAAACTCAAAAGAAACTAATGCTTAAAGCTGGTGGCATTGTATCAACACCAACACCAGTACACCTTGCCACCTGAACTCAAGAAGCAAACACGTCTGAATGGCGAAGGATCGTGTGCCAGGCTGAATAGTGCCATCGCCCTGTATGTCCACCTAGAATCCTAGAATGTGACCTTGTTTGGAAAAAGGATTATTCCAAACATACTTAGTTAAAAAAAAATGAGGTTAGACTGGATTAGAGCAGGCCCTGAATCCAATGACTGGTATCCTCACAAAAGGAGAGGACTCAGAGAAAAGAAGACCATGTAAGAGAAAAGAGTGACACAGCTACAAGACAAGGAACAGGATGGCCTGCTGGCGAACACCAGGTGATTGGATTCCTAGAGACTTCTAAGGGAGCCGAAACCTTGATTTTGGCTGTTTGGTGTCCAGAACTATGGGAATAAGTTTTGTTGTTGTTTTAAGCCAACAAATAGCTTGTTTCAGCAGCCCCAGGAAATGAAGAGTTATTTCCTCTCTGTAAGTGACCTAGAATATCAAATTATCAGAAAAATTAAGGTCTAAGTCTCTTTCAAATTTGAGACTTACAAACAGGGGTGCCTGGGTGGCTCGGCTGGTTAAGCGTCCCAACTTGACTTCCAGCTTAGGTCATGATTTTACGGTGTGGGTTCAAGCCTCGTATGTAGAGCTCTGCGCTGATGGCGCAGAGCCTGCTTGGGATTCTCTCCCTCAAAACAGATAAACTTAAAAAAAAAAAAAAATGAAGAGTTACAAATAAAATAGTATGTTTGCAATTTACCTTAAAATGATAGGGAAAAGGGGCGCCTGGGTGGCTCAGTTAAGCATCTGACTGGCTCAGGTCACGATCTCACAGTTCGTGGGTTTGAGCCCCTTGTCAGGCTCTGTGCTGCCAGCTAGCTCAGAGCCTAGAGCCTGTCTTTGGATTCTCTGTCTCCCTCTCTGACCCTGCCTTGGTCATGCTCTGACTCTCAAAAATAAAAAACATAAAAAATTTTTTTTAAATAAAAATTTCTGAAGGCCTGTTTGCGGACTGATATGGACTTGTCAACTTCCTACATTAGATCCCTTCTTCTCTGCCAAGACCACCTGTTTTCTCCATCCATAAGAGTATACTCGGGACCATCACTCACCAGGCCCACAGGCCTGGACCACAGAAGAGCTGACACCAAATTAGAATTACTCTCATAAAGTATTTAGTGCAGTGTTACTCATGGGACAAGACATGAATTCTTCAAACATGGCCAGTTAAGTACTTCTCAGGTTTCCTGATAGCCTATAGGTGGTAGTATTACCCTGCTTTAGAGGAAAAGCAGAAAACCAGCCAACCTTAAATAGCTACAAGCGCAAACAAAACAATTAGGAAGGGATCATGGCATACAATAATCTTATAAGGTCTGTATTATTTCTCAACATGCTCTCTGCTTGTGTTAATTTCCATTCTTTATCCTTCCCCATCCAATTAATCTTACCATTTGTTTAACATCTTTTGAGGAATCCCTTCCCATACCAGCCCCCACTTCTCTCTTCCTTTCCAATTATTGCCCTTCCATTCTGGATCCTTAGCAAAAGACCCCTCTCGAAGCTTTAGTTCTTTCACCAGAGAAGAGCTAGCTGTACTTGCTGGCTCTCCACACAGCTAGCAAAAAACCTCTGTACCATCTCTCTCTAAGAATTACCTTTCCCAGGGATAAGCAAAGCATCAGGACCCCTAAGACACTTATTACAAAATTCCTAAAATTACCTTAAAGGCCTTCGATTAAACTGTTAGGTGGACCACACACAAATTTAATGAAAGTAAATACAAAACCGGTTAACTTCAAAAACGCAGCAGAAAAGGATTAACACAAGCATTCCTGTTAACCACCACCATCTTTTATAGAGGCACATGCTGTTTCATTGCACTGTGAAGATATTGTGGTTTTTGTTCTTTTTTTTACACAATGAAGGCTTGTGGCAAATTCTGTGTTGAACGAGTCTATCAGCGCCATTTTTCTAGTAACATCTGCTTACTTTGTGCTGGTGTCACATTTTGGTAATTCTCACAGTATGTCAAACTTTATTTAAATATTATATTCATTATAGTCATCTGTGATCGGGACTCCTTGAAAGCTCATGATGGTTACCATTTTTTCCAAGCAATAAAGTATTTTTAAATCAAGGTACGTACACTTTTCTAGACATAATCCTGCAGCACACTTATTATCGATTACAGTTTAATTATAACTTGCATATGTAAGGAAACCAAAAAATTCATTCGATTCACTTTATTGCATGGTACTGAACCTGCCCTATAGATTTCTAAGCTGTGCCCATCTGTATTCACTATCCCATTTAAACCTCATAGACCCCCTGAAAAAGGTACTGTAGTTTACACTGTCCTAGTAGTTTCACATAACCAAAGAAACTAATCTTTTTGTATACCATTTAAAAACAAATCAAAGCTGTGCTTCCTGCAGTATTAACATGAAAAAGCAGAGGAATTTAATCAGTCTTATGAATCAAAGCTAGGATCTGCAATTCTAAATTAATGAGTTATGTAATATTTCCTTTAAATTTTCTGAGACGAGGCTACAGTATCCTGGATCCATTCCCTAACACCGCATAAATACATCTACCAGGAGCTGGGGATTGTGAGCAAGACAGGACCATCCCACCCCCACGATGTCCACGTAAGGGCAGAAAACACATTCAGCCATTCCACAATTACACATATGGGCCAAATCCGCCCCCCCCCAAAAAACCAATAGAATAATGTCTCCATTCGGAAGGCCAGTTCACATCAGGTTGGTGAAGTGAAACATGCAAGCTTATGCACCAATTTTATTC